AGGAGCTGATGTCTAGGCCAACGTGTCTGTCCGAGGCAATAGTAATATGCCCGCGCGAGTGATTGCGCGGGGTTGGCATGTGCGTGTGGACGTGCCAGTTTGAGTGGGCACAGAGGCAGGCAAAAAAAAAGCCGCCACAGCCACTTGAGGTTCAAAGAGAAGAGATCAAAGGACAGCCCCTTACTTCGGTCTCCTTCCACAGGATTAAAAAGATCATCAATAATAATGGGCTGGAGCGGCGCAGTGGGCAAACTGGAGACGAGCATGAGCGGAAGCTGATAGGTCTCTGCAGTCTGCCTCTGTGTGTGAGTGTGTGTGTGTGTGTGTGTGAATGTGATATTTTGGCGGTTTGCTGCCAGGACAAGTGGGAGCAGAAACCATAAGAGAGGGCTTTTTTTTTTTTTTCTCTGGAACTAGTGCTTGAACCAGGCCTCTGAAACGTCATACAATATTCACCACTACAACGTCTTCACTTCGCACTTTGGGCTTTCATCCAATTTCCTGTGAAATGTTTGAATATGTGTGTGTATATGTGTTTGCATGTGAGTGTCTGCATGCATGTTTCTCCTGCATCACAGAACAACAGAAATAAACAAACTGTAAAAGCTTTGAATGTTCACTTGCACCATTGTACCGTAAGTGAAATGTTGCTCATAGTCCTTTATATACGTGAGAACACAGAGTCTGAAAATGTCACATAAACGTAATGAGTATGAGGTTATATAATGCACAGTGTTCAAGGCCGTGCATAAGAGCTACTTTTTTCCTATGGGTGTTCTTTGTCTACATTTGTTAGCAAGTGCTGCGAAGCTAACACCGCGTCGCACCATCGTACAACGATGTTACATCACATCTCCATTATGTGTACATGTTGAACTACATCTACATCATGTTGGATGGGAGGTAAAGATGGAAAGAACTCCCACGTTTCTGAATGGAAAATGTTTCACATCATTGTGCAATTCAAGATCACAGCTACCAGCTAGTGGCTTTGACTATTTCTGTACATTCTTGCTGTTCTATGGGTTTGTTCGGATCCCACAGCAGAACAATACTGTCATGGATAAACACAAACCAAATTGGTAGCCAATGGAAAGGCATCTGGCGTCACACTTTTTTGTTTCCGTTATAGTTATGGGAATTGATTGAAATGCCAATTTTCAGTTCATTAATTAGTAAAAAATAAATAAATAAATAAACTACAGCATTACAGTTAGGCCTATATTTTGTGCACGTTTATAACATCCTGGCAACAAGATGGATCAAAGTACTTTGTGACATTATGCCAGCAACATACCATGACCCGTATACCTAAAAAGAATAACTACACTGATATAATAAAGTCCCAGTGCTGCTGTTTGAAATCTGGATATTGTAAATGGACTGCACTTTTCTACCTTAGTGGTACTCAAAGCTCTTTACAATGTTTTCTCACACACACATTCATACACCAATGGCAACACCTTCCATCCCTGCCACTGGGTAGCAGCTTCGGGTTCAGTGTCTTGCCCAAGGACACTTCGACCGTGGAGGGGTGGGGGGATTGAACCACCAACCTTGCGATTAGATTACAACCGCTCTACCACCTGAGCCACAGCCACCCTGGATTTTAAATGTATTTTGTTCATGCCAGTTTCTTTCACAGAAAAGAGGTGAAGGTTGGGTTTGCTGCAGCAACACTGCACTCCTACTTCACCCGACTATTTCTCACGCCTTACATTCACGGTCAATCAACAGTGCGCAGTGAAAACTACTCTCAGTATTTATAATGTCTTTTTACTAAGTGCAGTCGAGCAGTGCATGAATTCTCTGTGACATTTTGTTTGTTTTATCTTGAAATTAATTTTTCGAACAGGAGGGGAGCGTGCACTCCCATGCATTGTGCTGTTTTGTTAAGAAATAATTTATTTTCAGTGTTTGTGCTTTACAGGCACCTCTGCAATATATGGATGCAAGTCAGATATACAAGGTGTGGTGCTCTGTCCCTTGAATAAATAAGAGCTTTCATTTGTCCGTGGAATTGTTTATGTCTATTGGACTCAAAGGAGGCTTAACAAATGTGTAGACGAAGATCAGAAATGCATTAATTAACCTGAATTTATAGTTTGCATGGATTTGTGAAGGTGTCACCACCTCATGTTTATGCTAGCAGGGGGCATTAGCAAACAGAGGTGGAAGAAGAGGTTATAAAAGAAGCAGAACAACAGTGTAAAATGCTCCATCGCAAATAAAAGTGGTGCATTCTAAATTTTACGTGAGAAAAAATGAACTTTCGGTAAAAGTAAAAATGTAAACGTATTTCCCAATAAACGAAAATGACAGTTATTTATAAAACTGTTACATGCACAGTATTACTGCATTAATACAGAAGTGGCATGTTGTTGTTGGTGAAGCTTGAGCTAATTGTATGTGTCTTATATGCTGCTGGGTAATGTATTCTGTACAATTCTACAATTTCATTTGGCAGACGCTTTTATCCAAACTGACGCATATCTGAGAGGAGATACAACACAAGCAAGGATCTAGTCACGAGAAAACACCCTGGATAAGTGCCATAACAGTGTGTCATATTTTATTAACTCATCATACGTTTCATATGTATAGTCGTAATCAGCAAACAAACAGCAATAAAAAATTAATAGTGAAAAATAACTACTTAGTACTGTATGTATAAATACACACACTGTACATACTAACTATATCTGACAGTTGTCTTCTGAAATGTAATGGATAAGAAATACAAAATTATGCAAAATGCAGATATTTAAACAAAGTACAAGTGGTTCAAAATTGTTTGCTTGTTAATGTGCCTAATTACATCCACCACTGTGAGTAAGATATGCACTTGTTGCCTGTTTTCACTGTCACTTGCACTCCCTGTGTTGGCCCTCACCTTTCCATTCATTATGCAAACCGACTTCACGGTGCAGATAACTATAAAACAATTAGCCTAATTTCTCCACCCCCACGCCCCAACCTTTTCAGGTTTGAAAGGGGGTGTTGATTAAGATTTGGTGGCGTTAATTAAAGAGTCCAAGACCACCTGCAACCCCTCTACTTCACACCCCGCACGAGCAGAAAATTGCAGTTACGGTGACTCCCACACGATGTTCACATTGCAGATGAGCGCGTGTTAAAAATGTAGAGAGTGAGACGGGCAAAATGTAGTCACACTGAGACCTTTTCCTGTTCTCCTCCCAGTCTCCCTCTCTTCCTTTCCTCTTCAATCACAGCCTTCCCCCAGGAGGAGAAAAAGGAGAGGTAGCTAATTAATTACAGTGACTGACGACTCCGGTGAAGATCTAAGGAGGTGATGAATTGTGCGGTAGTACAACTATGACAGTAATCTGACGCATTCCCCTACCTTCGGTACCAACCACAGTGATCTGCTCTCCATATCACCTTGTAATTTATCACTCGAACCCGATGTTCCTGTCTCGTTTGTTGGAGCCTCCGTCGCAGCTGATTCAAGACACAATGTGGTCGGCAGATAATGAAGGTCAAGGGTCAGCTATGCAAGGGGATTGCCCTCAATTGGAGGCAATCACATAATGTTGGATCACGAGTGACCACACAGCAGACTAATATCTCTGAACTTCCACAACATCTGTCCGTCAAACTCAGACGCCAAAAACGGATGTTCACTAAATTGCCAGTGGTTACGAGGCCGCTGCGGCTTCATCACACAGGCAAGCACAGATGCATCCATCTGTTTTGTCACTTTTGACCTGACATGTTATTTTTTTTAAAGGTGTTGTCTTTACGTAACAGATCAATAGAGATATCTGCAAGTTGTGTGAGAGGCATCTGGAGAAAGAGACTGTATCCTGTATTGGATAGCAGGCGTTTAGCTTGAAAACCAGATTTTAGTCGCTACAGCACCTCGCCTGATAGATGGTCTTCATTATCTGCTCCTTTCTCTGAGGAGGGAGCACTGAATGTCCCTCTCTTCATCTTATCAGTCTTCTTTTTTTTACAGATCAATAACTACCAACACACAATAAAACAATCAACCTTCAATTGCTCTGTTTACCCGAACTGTCCATTTACACATAATGATAAAAATACTGGGGCGCAACGTCGTATCATCTAATTTTACTAACTTGAGAAGGAAATGAAAGACGTCAGATGAAGCCAATTTTAAACAACACTAAATAAATGTTTGCTCAGTGTCAGTGTTAAGCCCTTTGAATTTACTGAACTAGTTTTGCCATTCTTCCAATTTGTAGTAAATGTGTTTAATTAGCTGACTATAACCCTTGTCAGCCAGGTTTGGGGAGACGCTGTCTATTAATTGGCATAATTAAATGGGAACGGAGGCGAACGCCAATGTGCGTCAGGCGACGGTGACTCAACGCGCTCAGTGTAAGGGAATGACGTTTGGATTTGCAGTGGGAAACATAGAAGCACCCAGTGTTGGGTGCCAGCACCACTCAGCATCAATACTGCATGCAGTAATGCTGGAAAGCCAAGCGCTCCAGACCATGAGGCACACAAGAGGGCTAAAATAAGACCCAGCAGCCACTGAGCTTTACAGCTTAAATAAGCTCTTATGCGGGAAAAAAAACAGCTCTGGATTCATCTTATTGTATCTGAGGAGAAAACTGGGTCAGATGGATAATAATATAGAGGGGTTTGGGTCTGTGTTTGCAAAGTGAAAGTAGTCCACGGTCAGCTAACCAAGTCAGCTCTTTTCTTCACGGAAAAGTGCAAGACTGACTTTCAACGGAAGGAAATTGGCGGTGAGACAATTTGATTTGATGGCTGCTAATCAAACGTCCAATCTGTGCACTTCACCCTTTTGCATTAACTGCAGTATCATTTATTGATTTCCTCTGCTGATACTATACACATGCTGCATAACTTGGAAAACACAGCACATCCATAAAACATACCTTCCATGCTCACACATCAAATTATAATGGGTTATGGATTATGTATGTTCACGCGCCGTCATGAGCACATGAGTCTGCATGTGTTAAGTACGTGTTCCCACCGACCTGTGCTGCTCTGGATGGTTCTGACAGTGGTGGTGGTGCGCGGCGGCGAGTTGTTCCTCCTGTTGCCCACCGTGACGGCTCCCTCTTCCTCGTCCTGCGAGCAGCCCTTCTCTATGGCGCGCACGTAGCTGTGGCTCCGCATGCGGAAGCAGCCGGGCATGGGCAGGTCCAGGGCATCTACCGCCTGTGACTCCATCTCGCTGAACACTGACTCACACACCGCCTCGATCTGCCCGTTCACCTCCACCTCGCTCACCTGCGGAGGAGGGGAAACACACACACACATACAGCATGTGCACGCAAAGTAGTCAGATGAACAGAAAAAAAACCCAAAAAACACAGAGAAGTGTAGACACCAAAGCTAAAAAAAATACAAAGGCACACACCAGCACACACGGAGAAGGGACAATATACTACAGAAGCAAAAACAAAAATAAAAAAGCCAGGGAAATAGCTTCTAGTGCTGCAAGATTCAATGCTACTGTGCTACTTCATTGATTAAAGCTTCACGAGGCAGGAGTTTTATGTATAAACGCACTTAAATCGCAAATTGGCTGCTGCAATAGAAGACAGGTCTATTGTTCCTGTAATTTGTGGCTGGAAGATTCACCGTATTTGCAAAAAAAAAAAAAAAAAAAGTTGCTATGAACTGTGAATCATCTTTTAAACAAAAGCATTCTTTTGACTCAAAATGAAAACATGAATTTGCAGTAAATTATATTCTCAGATGAAATGTGTGATTTTGAATTCTTTTGTTACAGATGAGTCATTTCGGTCAAACTTTTTACCGCTCTCACCTCTCACACTGCCTTGTAAAGCTTTAAGCCATTCACAGGAATTTACATATACTTAAAAAAAAAAAAGGAATACAAAAAAATTAAAAGAGTATCCAGCGGGTGCAGTGGAGGAGGAATCACTGCAGGATAAAAACTTCAAAGGGGCCATACAACAGAGTGAAATACTACAAGTGTTGTTAATAAAGGTGAGAACAGGAAGTGTCAAAGCTGGGACTTGTGGGATTTGAGATGTGACTCGAGGAAATCTTGCTACACCTACATCATTAGCCGATGCAGTTTTGGTTTCAAAACGGGGTCGAAAGTAAACAAAACTTGGAAAAACTTTCTAACAGGCTTTGCGAGACGGGTGTGTGTGCAACACATCGGGTTACGTGAGGGGAGGTACTACGAAGCTCCATTCTATTCCTTGAAGAGATGCCAAGATGTCTTCACAGGGAGGAATCGAATGGGAACACAGCTTTGGGTGTTTGTCAGTAAGGAGAGTGTACAGTCAGACAAGTTGTGAGTGTATACTGCAGAGCTTGGAATCAGGAAGGTTTGTGGACCTCGATTCAATCCTTTGATGTTAAGCCTTTTCTTTACGTGTCACTTCACACTCCATGCAAAGTCCAATATGAGAGTGAGTGAGATAGAAAACCTAAGCAGCACCTTTATTTTTTTATTCTTTTTGTAGATGCCAGGTCCGGTCTGACTTTCTCCCTTAGGCCCGCTCCATGCCAGGACTTGGAAGATATGTCCCAAGGGTCCATCATTCAGATGGTGAGGCAAAGTGTTGCCCCTGGGCCTTGCATAGAGAGGGGGGTGGAGTACATATCCCCATTACCCCAGGCGAAAAAGGTAAGCTAAGCTCCCCCTGTCACTCCAAATAATGCAGAGTGTGAAGCAGTGCTCCAAAAATCTAAAATGACTAACATCTTATTTTTGCAGCAGCTATGACAATAACAGACTTCCTTTCCTTTCCAGTTCTTCAACGTTCAATAACGGCCAATAGCCATTATCGCTTGGAACCAATTCCAATTTCCATTATTCAGAAAAATCATATGGCTGCATGTTTGTACTTGTTTTTCCATCTCTTATATGGCAAAATGAAGGGAACATTTTTAGCCTGTCATTTTTGGTTCACAAAATATGCTGAGGCAGAAGGAGCCTATTACAGTAAAGAAGGGTACTGAAGGGGGTTTCTGCTTGCCCTCCTGTTTAATTAGCCAATCTGACTACGGCTGCATCGTCCGAGCTCCAGAAAAACAGCACGCAGACGTATACACTAATTAGGAGATTGGAGGGGGGGGGGTTTGGTATTCTTCATACTTCACCGGATGCTGACCTGATTGCTAATTCAGGCCTCAGAATGGTCACGGATAGGATTTCCTCCCACTGCACGACCTTACTGGATGTAGCGGTGGAGGTACAGAGGGAGCAGAGGCCAACAACAGAGAGGCTCGGGCCCCGGAGCGCCACTAACCTGGCTGATGGTGCTCATAGCTCTCATGTAGCTCTCGTTTCGGGAGCGGAATTTAGGCGAGGCCAGCAGCCCTGCCGGGTCCAAGCTGTCCAGACTCCTATTGATGGAAACCTCACTCACCGCCCGCAGATAGCTGTGACTCCGGATCTGCAGCTTGGGCGAGTGCTCGGTGGAAATCCTGCCGCAAGAGAGAGAGAGAGAGAAAAAAAAAGGAGGGACAAAAAAGAAAAAAACAGGAGCTTGGTGAAAAACAAAGCGAGACAGCAAAAGAGGTAATGGAGGAAGAGATAAAGAGGTAAAAAAAAAGGAAGTGAGAGCAGGTATTTGCAAAGTACTTGGCAGTGTGTATGAACCCAAAGATATGGATCAATCCACAATTGCTTCAGGAGACACCCTTATCTAATCAACAAGCGCAGTACTATTGAGAAACACTCGCAGTGGCTTAGGTAGTCTGTCCTTGAGGCACCTTGTAAGCGCTTTCAGGAACACTTAACGGTGAGAACACTTGCGACGCATATGTCAGGAAAGTGAAGATGTGTTCCTGTGAGGTACATCTAATTTCGAGACTTTTGTGTTGAAGCGCATACAACAAGCTCAAAAAAACACACCTACAGGTCGACGCAAAAATACCCATCTCCAAGGAAGACGAATAGGTGTCTCATTTGCTCTCACCTGCCTGCAATCTCATCGCTCAGCAGGCTTCACACCTACGTGCATGTTTGTGCGACGAGATGCGCTCAGGTCACGCTGCAATCGAAGGCGAGCTAAAGAATTCATTAATCAGGGGAACTAAAACCTAAAAAGCTGACTTGCTTTCCACTCAATGAACACGGTGGCCTACTAAACCAACTTACAGAGAACAAAGTGCAGCGAGAGGAGAAGATTACAACACAGATTATGGAGATTATATTCTTAAACCAACGATGAGAATTAAGAGACAAATACTTCATTTTTATTCCCCCCTCACTCTATCTCTCATTTTCACATATAAGAATATTTAGAGAAAAACACTGTACATATACACACTTTTGCTCTCTGCCTCCAGGTCAGATCTGCTTTAATTATGCATTTCCTCCTTAAAATAGAGTGCGGTTACCACAGCAAAGCAAACTAGATTAGTCATTCTCGGATGAAAGGGAGGGATGTAGCGAAAGCACAGATAAACGACTGAGATATGAACAAGTATGTTGGATAGACAGTTATTAATTTTAAAACATGACTCCATGTAGCTCAACTGTCCCTCTGGATTTTTTAACACTGACAAGAATTCAAAGCCTCTGCATAAAAGCTTTCAATAGTAACTGGTGCTGTCAGTTTGATTTATCAACACAGCTCATTGTTTTTTAATCTCAGGGTTTCCCGTCGAGGTGCTTCGATAGTAGCGCTGTGCTTTTTAATGCATATTTCAACAAGTATTTCTATCAGTTTGTCAGGCTTATGAGGGATCTGTTGTGTTGTCACGAATTTGCAGAATGGCTTAAGTAATTGCATTTTTTTCTGACTATCCTGATTTCATTGGGCAACAAAACGAGCTAAAATCCACTGATTTATCTCCGCTTTGATGCAGATGCACAGAAACAGGGTGCAAACCACAGGGGGAGTCAGGGGGGAGTTTGGCTCCTTTTAATAAGACATGAGCTCCCCTGAAAACATGATTTGTGAAATTTTGAATGTATGATTTATGCATGAGGGTGATTAATCACCAATTCACTTTAATAAAAAAATACCAGCATGCACGCTGTTCGTGCCATCACCACTGAAGTGTGGCGGTTTGATATCGTAAACTTCCCTCATTTTACCTCAAAGATCATTAAAACTTTCTTGATACAAAAACAAAACATTTAATGATAAAGATAAGCTAACTGAAGTCTTTTAGTGTTTCATAAATGGTGTTTCTGTTGTCACTGATCACAAAAAATAAAGTGAGCTCCTCTGAAAGCCACACTACAGTTTGCACACTGCCCTGAAGCAGCATACAGCAGTAATTGGCCGTCTGACAATTCGAGAGTAGAGTTTAAATAAAACGACAGAAAATCAATCATCAGCTTTCCAAATGTAAATATTTTATGATTTATTTAGTCTTCTATGGAAATAGATTGAATAGCTTTAAAGAGTTTTTCTGAATTAAACAACAATCCGTGCCCACCACAACAATGCATATAAATGTCGTCTTGTCACGCCAAAAAATTTTTTCCAATTTTAAAAATTTAACTCTTTTCTGATCGCATATTGTGGTGGTGAAGGTTTGGTTGAGTTACTGGTTGAGGTTAGGGACAAAACTTTGACATCATCAGCTGTCTGGTGAAGTCTGGACTTTGTTTTTTCTCTTTTCTAACATTTTACCAAACAATCAATCGCCTAATTGAGAAAATAATCAGTTTAAATGTTAGTTGCAGCACTATTTATAAGATCAATCAATAAATATTAACTGTGGTGAGAGAAAAAAAAAAAAGATTTCCCAACCAAATTATGATGGGTCAGTTCATTCCAGATAGAAAATATGTCTTTCCATCCAAGAAATAAAGTCATAATTTGTATTCCAGACCTCAGAGACTGGTGTGAATCATACATATCAACCACCTGGAGTCTGTCACTGTGGGTGATGCACGGAGGAATCAAATGAATGAAGAATCTACCTAAATCATTATTTCCATCCACATCTCTTCCTGATTTCCCTGTGGGGCTGATTATGGAACCAATGATGTCTATTGTGGCAACTTGAATGGTAGACCCTGCCTGTAATCAGTGCCACCTAAGGCTGGGGAGGTCAGTGTATCCCAGGGGCCTCCATGGAACAAGTGACATTAATGAACACATATTCCTCTGCCAATCAGGAATCAAGACTGTCTGAAGCCGACTGCTGATTTCCACCGCATCACCGAGTGTGTTTGTAATTGTAGATCTGCTCCTCTCTCCGTCATTACATTTTGTCCTCTTGTTCGCTTCACCTCACCCTCGCTGTCAGCAGATTCCTCCTGCTTCCACACTTAACATTTCTCCGTCCAACTTCCCTATATCCTCTTTCTCCTCCTCTTAGTCGCCGTCTTAATGAAAAGCCTCGGCTCAGTGTTGTTGGAGGGACGGAAAGTCTGTGTCTTCTCCGTGCGACACACAAAACAAACCTGATAAAATCTGGGCCAGGAATAAATGAATTTGTGGCAAAAAGAAAGACTGCTATTAGCGAGTGAGAGAAACAAGAAAGGATGTAATTTTCTCCTGAGCTTGTTTGTCTGCCAGGAATAATCCGATCCATTTAAAATACACGCATTATCTGTGTGCCATGTGTTTTAATAAAGAGGAAGGCTAGCACTGGGCACGGATAAACAAACTGCACAACTTCTCAGCAGTTCCCAATTCCCAAGTAGTCGAGGAGACAATGGTCACAGACTGGGCTCTGAAACATATGGAACAACAAAGCTGATTATTTAATCATTGTGGAGTGTAACAGACTTGTTCCAGCTCCCAAAAGCATAGTGTGAAAACAAGATGTCAGCTGCTCTCGCCTCATTCTCTATCTCCAATGTGCAGCACTGCAGTTTGGTTTGTTCCACTGGGTTCCATCAGATGATGATGGCGTTCCCCGGGCCAAATTCAAGTCATTAGTGGGCCCCAAGCTGTGCCACTTGCACTTACGTAAGGGTGTGCATGTGTGCGGCGCTAGTGTTTGTGCAACCAGTAACAATGACTGAGCACCCACTGGTGTTCTTCTCATCTCTGTATATTACACAGCTAATCAGTCACAGCCCCGTGCTGCATCAAAAGACTCGTGTCCTCAATTCTTTCACTGTTTCACTGCAGCGAGAATTTGGGTTAATATAAAGTTAAGGTTGAAAACTATGAGATGACATGTAGGATGGTGATGAAGTTACAGATTTCTGGTTTTATTGACATGTTTGGCCATTAATTCCACCAGTTTTGAACTTCTTGCATGAGCCGAGTTAACATGTGTGGACTCATTTGTGGACGATGTTGTCATCTTTATGTGTTTCAAGACTATGTTGCATCAGAAATTTTTCTTGATGGGCCCACTGATGAATACTTTATGAACTCATGCTGTGAAAAAACTACGCTGCTGAGCAGACAACACTTTATATAACAAGAAGCAACCTCATGGCAATCTTCAAATAGGCTTTTAACTCAGCTTTTAACCTCAGATCTTTCAGAAGAAATTGCTTTGTGTGTGTGAGAGAGAGAAAATATTTGATAACGTTCTCTAACATGCCATTTATTTTTGAAGAGTCTTTCAGTACATGAACAGGCATTATGTATTTTAAATGAAAGCTCTGTTCGGCGCGTTGCGTGATTGCGGCGATGCCGAGGCGAGCTCTGAAGACAGAAGTGTGCGTCGGAGTTGTAAACACAGAACAGGTAATTAAACTGTGACCACTGAGAGCCAAGAACTTACACATAAGCCAGACTGCTGCTGGGGAATATGTGTGAGTAACACTGGCTGCCTCCATCTCAATCTGTTGGTTGACTTTTCTCTTTGACTTTCATTCCCTTTATCTCGCCTGTCTGATTCACTGACACAGTGCTGTTTGACTTGAGGCTTTCAGCACACTTGAACACTACATTCAGAAGCATGTGCTCAAACATAACGTACAGGCGGGCCTGCAGTTACACTGTACACAAACACCCGACAATACTGAAATGATGAGTTAATTAGGTCATGAGGTGGGTGACTGAAATTTAATAGATTACCTGGAAATAAAGCGTGAATGTTTAGCATTTTGGCTTTTTTTCCAGGACCTCAAATGTGACAAGGTCCTGCTTTACTCGATTGTGAATGTCGTAATTTTAGTAATTATTCTGCTGGGCTATGGAAAATTGTGTTCCCTATTTTTATTTATTTATATTTTTTTTACATTTCTGAATAATTAATTGAAATGTTTTTGAACTGAATAACTAATATTGGAAAAAATGATTTGAGTCCAAGTACCAACCCTGTTTCCACAAAAATAGATTGCTATACAATTAAACTGCATTCCTGACTATGTTTTAAAGGTTGTGTAATTTTGTTTTGAAATTAACCAAATCTGTGACCTGTGACGTGGTGAAAAAGGCGGCCATTTTGAAAGTCCGTGTTAGGAGGTAAGAGGAATGGTTGCTGACATAAACCAGTTATTAGATTTCCACTCAGGAGGCTGGGGTTTGTGTCCTTTGACGAGAGAGCATCAGTCTCAGAACTAAGTTTAATTTTCTGTCGTTGCTTAATTTCATTTTTTACATACTTTCTGGTTAGTTTTAGGCACAAAAACTACAAGGTTAGGTTTAGGAAAATATTGCAATTTTCTGGGAGATTTTTATATGTTAAAAGCTTGGTTAAACTTTGTGAAAATGTCCTGGTTTGGGTTTAAATGCGACCCTTTCACGTTTTAAGTACTTTCTGGGTTACTGCCCCATCTAATATATGATTGGTTGGCTGCATAACAGCGACAGTGAAGCAATAAGACAAATGGCGTACATGTATTTGTGACCCGTCAGAAAAAAGCTTTCCCTCAAAATGGTAATGAGACTGCAGTTAGTTTTGTGGAGACTGAATCGCTGACACACACTCACTTCAGCGTGGTCATCTCCGTGAGAGACGGCTGCGTGGCCTTCAGGTAGCTGGCTCTCCGTGCCTGGACCTTGGGCGAGGGTTTTGGGCTGCAGTCCGAGTCTCCGCTGTCTTCCTCTGCCATGGCCTTGATGTAGCTGCCGCTGCGCATCCGCCGGCACGGAATCTCATCATCCTTCCCCAGCGGCGAGAAACCGCTCCAGTCATCCTGAGGCACCTGTAGGGATGAGGTGAGATTAAGGAAAGAGGGAATGAACCCACGGCACAGCACACACTTGAGATGCATGAATACGAGCACGCACAACAAGACTGCAACCTTTTCTACAATGCCCCGTTATAAATACCTGAAAAGACTGAGCTGTAATAGTATCAATGCAGGGTCTGCCTTGATCAAACCACAAGCTTGTCAGTACTGGTGGCCTTCTTTTGTCTGTCCTGTGATGCATGCCGCATATCAAATGCGGGGAATTAATTGTTGTGACAAAACGTTGCAATGCCCCGGCCTCTGTCTGCGCTCCTGACTTTTCACACACACTAATGAAGGTAAAAACTAAAAGGAGGCAAAGCTATCTCCTACCCCTAATCTAAAAGAGAGGGAGTAAAAGACAGCAGACGTGGGGAGAGGAGGGGGGAAACAAAGGGGGTTTTGTTCAGCAGAACCACTGCAGTCCCAATGTGAGTGGCTGTTAGGGCACCAGCTCTGAAGTGAAAGAAATGAGATACAGAGCGAGAGAGGAAAAAAAAAGTGTACGAGAATCATTCAACAGACTAGTGTGTAGCTAGGAAACCAAGCTGACCTTGATGTCAGGGGCAACTACAGAATGTGTTAACATCTTGGGAAAGTCTGGGTCTGCAATGACGTCAAAAGGAGTGAATTGTTGTTACTGAGCCATTAAAAAAAATTAGATGAAGTCGTGCTTTTTATACTCGCGTTTTTATACATCAGGGTCACGGCAGAATACAGCATATCAAAGACGCTGCCACTTGTGGATGTTGCATGAAAGGGTTCGGCATTAAATTAAGTGATTACATGTGTGTGAGAGAACATCAAACGCTGGATTACAGGACATCATCTCAGCAGGCGATGCGCTTAGCATATCTTTTTGTTTAAACGATTCAAAAAAGAAAAATCTGCAGTCTAACTTATCAGGCTGCTGTCCTTGAAAGAACGTTTTTCCCTCCGTTTCAATTTCTAGAGAGAAAGCGATGGCTCTTTTAGGCTGGTAGAGTTGTTGCCATACTGCAGTGACAACATCCTTCCTTGATCTGCTCACTCCGTTTTTCCAGGATGTTAAAATGCACGACCATACAGAACTTTCTCTCTCTTTTATGTTCTTCTACTCTCGCTTTCTGCCTTTTACTCTCACCGTTTGCTTCTGTTGCCCTTATTTGCTCTCTTTTGGTCTTTTTTATCCGACGGTACACTCTCACACCTCTGTTCTCTCTGCCTTGTCTTTGCATTTCTCTCCTCTGGCTTATATTTGCTGCTCACCTCAATGTGTGGAACAAATGTAATCTCGAACACTTTTATCTTTTCCAAAGCAGAAAAAGAGAAACGCGTGTCTCTATATGTTGGTGACCGCTGAGCGACTAGAGCGGTTGTCTTTTCATTTTCCGTGTCATAGTGCGACCACACTCGCTCTCTCTGTAAATAAAATGCACACACAGTCACGTACACACACCACCACCGCTACGATCACCACAAAAACAATCCTGACAGCTGTATAAATGTAGCTCAGTGTCACAATTTGCCATTGATGCTCTGTAAACAGATTAAATTTGTGTTTTTTCCCTCCAGTGCTTGTACACTGTAAAAAAAAAAAAAAAGCTGGATTCTACATGAACTGTTTGTGTTCATGAAAGAAAAATGTAGCTTCTGATATACGTGCAGAAGTAATGGCATCAACGTCCACATGCTCACGTATGAACATTTCCATGCATGTGGGCACAAACACAGAGGAGCACATGTCACGTTATGGTATTGCAAAATGTATTATGATTAACAAGGAATGAAATCGATGTGAGGCCGATGATCAGGGGAATGACAGGATGTGTTCTAGGCCACCGCGTCCCTGATCAATCTCTCTAACTCGCCCAGACACACGACACAAACAAACCCCAGATACATGCAGAAAAACAGACGCATGGAGGAGCACCTGGCACCGGATGATATATGAAGCACGACATGCGAGAGGCTGGGCTGCTGTAACAGTCCTACCTGTAGGAAGTGGCAAGTGCGTCCCTGCTCGGCTTTCACTAGAGCTTTATCTAGGTTGACTGAGGCCTTCTGGTAGACCTCTCTTGCTCTGCTCACCGTCAGAGTAGAGGACCACGAGCTCTTCTTCAGCTGAACTTGGCCATCCAGGGTGCCCATCAGCGGCAGCCCTCCGCTGCTGCCCCCGGAGCACGTTGAGCACTTCACGTCGTTGTTGCTGCGCGACGTCTTCAGAGACTGGGCGCTGATGGTGTTATAGGACTCCATGAAGTACTGCGACTGGGATTTGTCCGGATGGCGCCCCATGGTCATGACCCCAGAGGGCAGGCCTCCACTGCTGCCCCCGTGGTGGTGGTGGTAGAGGCACACCTCCCGGTCGAGCGTGTCGTCTGAGCTCCAGTAGCCTGAGATAGCAGTGCGCATCTTAGGCTCCGACTTGGAGCGGTCCTTGCTCTTACTGCGCTTGCTGTGCTTTAGGGTGCCAGAGGATGAGGGAGGATCATCAGGGCTTGATTTGCTGCCATTCATCCTCCCGCTCCCTCCTCCACCAGACCCCGACGGCCCCTCTAGCGAGTGGGACTTGGTGAACAGCTTCTGGACGGAGTGAACAAGGTGGCGAATTCGTCCGGGGCTGTCGCTGCGTTGGTGCTCCACCGCAGTGCGCTTGTACTGCAGCGTGTGGTAGCCCTCACGACGCAACGGCGCCTGGCTCTCAAACTGCTCGAGCAGGTTCGAAGGGATCCGGTTGTTGTTCCCTCCACCTCCCTTACTGCTACCTGTTGGCCCGGTGTAAGGCACAACAGGACCGCACTCCTCCTTCAGCTCATGGTGGGAGCTGTAATGTCTGCGAGGGAAGGTGCAGCTGGCCAGATCGGGATAGGCACTGCACTCAGACTGGAAGGAGTTCCGCTGGGTGTAGCAGGGGTGGTCAACAGGATGAGCCTCTCCAGGGTTGAGGATGTAGGACCGACGATCGGCATGTCCCAGGGTCATAGAGTCGTAAGAGGGGTCGCAGGTCACAGTGTGGTGGTGACTGCGGCTGCTGGACAGGCCTTTCATTGTCATCGTGGCCGGGTCAAGGTGCACATCCAACTGCTGCCGCAGGAAGTCCGCACAGGCCGCAAAACTAGCTCTACAACAAAACACACAACCATGAGGGAAAAACAGACAAACAAGAAGAGAGAGACAGAAAAGAGGATTATAAATATCTTGTATTTGCATATTTTTAAAGTACAATTTAATGTTTTTGTCTGCTTTAATTTGAAGAAGATGCTTTTTGGCACTCCTTCACAGAAGAGAAAACTTGCTGACGCTGACAGGACCTATTCTTTTCTTTCGGTCTTGTATTTTTGTCCTTCAAAACTTCAAAAGGAAGATCGCTAAATATAGCAGCCACTTGGCATGTTGTCCCTGACACCCAGATCTGTCCTCAAGCTTCCTCTTCCATTTCTCTGTTTGCTCCGGTATATTTCAGTGAAAAAGTGACAGGGCATCGAGGAAACAGAGAGAAACAAAAGAAGTAGAGGCATCAAGAAGAGTTCAAATCTATTTCCAGCTTATGTGTGTGCTATATTGGTTCAAGGGTACTGCAGCATCAGTGTAACTCAACAAAAAAAATATAATGAGAAATTGGTGATGGGAACAGAGCAGCATAAGCATCCTTTGCAGAGTTTTAATCCCTCAGATTATTTCACCACAACTGTGCGATGTCTCCTAAATTCAATCCAGTGTTTTCACAGAGCAGTGGATGAACAGATCGGGTGGTGCTCAAAAAGTACATTTATTTTTTTTGCTTACAGTACATCTGCTCACTGTGCATGCATGCACATCCCCCCACCCACAAACACAACAAATGATCACAGACCGGTCCTACACTTTGCCTCTATACCTCTAGTTGTTCTAGGGGCAAACTAATTGGCCAGTAAAACCCAGCTGACAGCTTCTGGGCTGGTCGAGGCAACTGCAATAAACGACCTTTCCCTTACGTGGTGACATGAAAACAATGGCATCCATCAGCGCCCTTAAACTGCCTTCCTTACGCATCTGGGGCTGTGGCTGGCTAGTCGCTGAACCCACACCGTTTCCAATGGACTGGAGGTGAAGCTAACGAGACAATAATAAGAGCCCACGCACCCCAGTGTAGCACCATGACAGCAGTGTGGCCAAGCCTCAGCGGGCAATTCATTATTGCGATTTATAATGCAGTACCAAAGGCCACTGTGGTAAATAATAGAAAAAAAAGAGGAAAAAAAAGGGTTGGGGAAAATGAGGGAGACTGAGCAGCAGAATGAAATATCATGTCAAGACTTTACATAACTAGAGGACACGGTGTAGGGCACATGCAAGATGTATTTATGTGCATGAATATACAGTGAGTCATATTTATTATTTTCTTTGACTGTAAACTGGCCGCTGGATTAATTGAAAAACTAGGGGGAAATTATTCATGCAATTTCCTCGTCTATACTGAACCCGGAGGATTAAATCACTCTGGGAGGAGGGAATTAAGCTAATATTTTATTGTGAGAGTGAAAATAGAAAATTACAGAGCGGTCAGTCCTCCTCCGACCCCCCATCCCCCCTCTTTGAGTGAATTCACATGAAGCTCGTGCGACATGCCACAAAGACATGCACAGTGTCCGTTTCTTGCAGAGCACTTAAAAAGTGGGCTGTGTCCAACTAAAGGTATTCATTGCAGTTGACAGAGATCCCTTCTGTTGGCCGCTGAAGCACAGAATGTGACCTAAATAAAAGGCCCTCGCGGTGATCCACAGCAGCGTGTTTGTGGCACAGCTGTCTGCAGCGCTGCACTAAAGCTGAAAAGCTGAAGTTGGGTCATGCTGGCTATCTGCCTGCTAGCAACACATACACACACACATACACACACGCACACATGCACAGACATACAAATACATAGTGTACCTGACAGGCTGCATATCCATGCTGAATTATGATGCTGCTAGCTTGTAAAACACAGTTTATTAACAACAAGAGGAGGATCTGCTGGTCGTACCGTGTCTGTCAGGTATGGCCTGCAGTGACACGCGCTCATAGACAGCTGTGGTTATGTATTATGCTGTATGTTGCAGCTGACTGACCCAGTTGTGTCTCTACCTGTGTGTTTGAGCCAACTGCCATACAGCACCTCAACAACTGGACAGGTCACTCCGAAGCAGCAATAAACCATCAAGACACTGAATTATCAATTTTGCAGGCTGTAATTAGTCGTTTTTCTACGTCACATCCTCCTTAATGTTGTTGCAGCACATTCCTGCACAAGGATAATTGTAGCAGCTAAATTTCTTTATAGTTTTTAAAACAGTGGGTCCTCAGCTGCATTAGTTGATTGAAAACAAGTGTCACCGACTGACTTTTAAATGTCTCAGCCGACTCGTTCTAAAACGAGAATCCTGCAAAAGGGTCCTTGATGGCTGCGTGATATTATACCAAAACACTGAAGCTAAAAGGAAATTGATGACCCATACAGCAGACAATAACATCATCACTGGTGTTGTACTGCTGTTATATTAAACAGAAAAGATCAGAACACATTGTTCAGGCATATACCTGGCTGCTTAGCTTATATTCCTGTTTATATTTTCACACGCAATGTTCACTTAAAACATTACAAAAGGTTAATGTAAGGTTAATGTTCAGTTCTAATTGTATACAGAAGCAGTCACCACACACTGAATGTGCTAGTCAGGAACATTAACCTATAACCCCGTAAACAAATATAGTTACAAAGCTTGACACAGCTGTCGCACCTAGTCACAGATGCTTAACTATGAGTTGCTGTTTGAGGTCCTCTGGTGAGAACAGGTGCTAAAAATCACGGTTTCCGCAACACAAAAGTAACTATCAAACTAATTTTTTAAAAAAAAACAACAAGAAAAACACAAAGAACTTGCTTCTTCTACTTTGTGGGAACGGGCTCTAAAAACCACAGGGATTTCATTACTTTTAAAGTGATTGTATGCTGAACAGCAAGGTGTGCAAACAAAACGCAGGAGTAGATAAAACAAGTCAGGCTATGAATGTTAATGGCCATTAGCACCTGCGCTGCATCAGCACAGCAGGATGAATTCAATTTGGACGCAATGTTTCTTTGGGCTCACATGAGATAAATGGAAAATAGATTTTTCCTTCATTATCGAACATTGTGAGCAAATCTCACACTGGTAAAAATCTACTCATAATTTTCTTCACATCACCCCTCAGCTTTGACAAAGAAAATAAACAAAGGTGGTATGAAAATGCAAAGCAACACTGACTGCATACCGTCTTTAGAGGAAATCAATATAGTGTGAGAAGACTGCTGGAGCTTCTCTTGCTGTTGAAATATAAGAGGCTGCTGTTCGACTGCAGTTAGACTATCTTCCGCAATCAACATCAAACGGCGGTTGCGAGGAGGAGCTCGGGGCTTAAAAAGCTTCTTTAAGGCCACAAGGCTACAGAAGGTCTGCTTCTCTCTTGAACCTGGCGATGCTTTCTCCAAAGGAAGAAAACATTACCAATCTCCTCTCCATGGGGGTTCAAATCCCCTCCGTGTGGCTCATCTTATGCGCGTGTGTGTTCCTGTGTTTGTGAGGCGGAATAAAAAGAAGGAGTCCAGCACTTTACCTCCAGTTTTCAGGTCAAGTGAAGTTTTGCCTTTGATCTGAGAAACGTTTGCAGTCTCAGGCTGCTGAATAATATTACTGCGCTGACTGGATATACAGTAAGAGTGAAGACACTGTACACATAAAAATATGTTCCACATGGGTTTCAATATGTGAGAGGATGACAGTCAGACTTAACCTTAAACAACCTTTTACTACGAGGTGTATCAGAAAAGTTTCAGGACTGGTGTTACTGAAGATATATTTCAAATCCAAACTACAAACTACGAGTTTTCCCCGTCGAAGTAATCCCCCTGGAGTCTAACGCACTTCCAGGATCCACTGCAGCTTCGTCGTCACAGCCATCTTGATGTCGTCCACATCTTCAAAATCGGTCCCCTTGATGACCCCCTTGAGCTTGGGGAAGAGGAAAAAAATCACACGGAGCCAGGTGGGGTGAGTAGGGAGGTTGCTCCAGCACGGCAATGTTCTTCTCAGCCAGGAACCGTCGGATGCTCAGGGCATTGTGAGCAGGCGTGTTGTCATGGTGAAGCAGCCACGACTTGTTCTGCCACATCTCTCACCTCTTCTCGCGCACTGAACGAAGCAAAGGATCTCTTTGTGGACATGCTGGTTGATCGTCTGAAGGGAAAAACTTGCAGTTTGTAGTTTGGGTTTGAAATGTGACACCAGTCCTGGAAACTTTCTGACACACCTCGTATGTTGCACCTGTACTCAGCCAATGGGCAACTATAAACTACTAACTCCTGTATACTTATTAATAATTGAGCATTAATGTTTTGTGTGAGTATGTGAAAATACTATTTTCCAGACCCACTCTTTCAAGCTTGACAAGTTAGACACCATTTTTACTTGACTGATGTCACCTTCTTTCCATTTCTTTTAGACATGTTTGATGTAAAATGTGTTTCTTTGTGGTTGTAGGGGTCAGTATGCTGCATCTCTGTTTCTGGGTCAGTATTTGTGCACACATGACCTGGGAGGTCATGGTATCAAGCTATGCAAATAGCTCTGGTTGGATTCTTCTGCTGACACGACAGTATAACTGCAGCGAGGAGGCTCTGGTGCATTTAAAGATTACACTTGAGAAGCTCGACAGTATTGTCCATTCACAGATCGTTCAGGAGAGAGTTTTTAAAACAGAAACTATTTAAGCAAAAATAAATCCAATTTACCTGCTCTCCAGTGTAATCCTAGTGGATATCTTTAAAGTGTCTCTGCACGGCGATACCATCAACATGTTTTACTTTTATAATTTGAGTGAACTGACCCCTTAAAAACAAAGAGCAAAAAGATAATTGAGCAGCGCGCCTTAGAATAAACAAGATAATTAGCATTATGCTTTTCCGAGCGGAAGAATCAATGTAAGAGTCAATGTAACGGAAAATAAAAATGCTCCCTGTGAAATGCTGCACAATATTTTCTTTTTTTTTAAAAAGTACT